CTTAATTTATTGTTTAAATTTTCCATTCATGTGTTGCTAAGCTACGGAATGTTTTAGTTGCATATCGTATCATGGAGGATGATCGAGAAGAAAAAATTGAATCAAGCAAACCTCGTTCGAAAAGCGATGAAACGCGAAAAAAAAAATAGACCGCTGATAACGCAGAGCCAAGGACTGAAGTGCTTACCACTCGTTTTGTACCCATGGCCATTTTGTACCCAGTCGATTCATACCATTCATACCCAGTCAGTTGAGTCGGTTCGTGCCCATACTAATAAAACATGTTTTCCATTTTACCTATGCTTAAGGTAGGTCGGTCTCATTTGTTTCATAGCAATATAGTGAACGTTAATATAGTTTTGTTTCTACGTCGTTTATTAGTTACCAGTTACCGAATGTAAGGCCCGGCTGAAACCGAAAATGCGGAATCTGGTCTTCTTATTGTAATAAAGGTCGCGAGTATACACTTTCCTTCCTCGCTTGACACTTTACTAACTTGACGTATGCAAAAATTGACATCTGTTAACGTGTTCGCGCGCGTGAGGTATTCCGTTAGATCTTCCGGGTTGTGAATGTTGGGACAGGTCCAAATTAAATCGAACGGGGTCGGGTACGAAGCGACACAAGCCGGGTACGAATCGTACGAATCTGGGTACGAATTGATTGAGTACCCCAAGCCCATGAGTACAAAAAGACTGGGTACCACTGAAGTCCATCGAACTTGTACCACATGCATGCATGTACACTCAGTGTGGTAAGTTGTCTCTCTCGTTTTTTATTACAGATTTTTGCTCAGGACGATGTTAAAGACAGTAACCTCTGCTTTCTTCTCAGGCCTCGACCCTGTCAATTTTAAATTGTGACGTATATGACCATCTACTAAAAACACAAGTAGTATCTAGGAAACATTGTCATAGTGATTTATTATACAGCTGCCAGCGCCCGTGGGCAATATGAAGCGAAAGACTACCCGAGCAGGCAAGCTGGGCACATCCTTCCGACTCTGGATTGCCCGCTTTGATCCCGCACATTATTTTAATAAATAGTTATATCTTCTCCAAAATAAAAATTACATTTTATTGGGTTAACGGCATTTTTTTGAATGGTGCTGATGAAAATTGTCTCTATACTCAAATGTTTTCCATTTGTTCAGAACAAGAAGGCTTGAAAAGTTTTAAGAGTGCGTTTCTTTCTCTAGCCTTTATCTTTGGCCCATGAGTACAGTCCTGGTTTGATGCAAGTTCATACTTTTCATAGAGTAATACCTTTTTGAGTTTACAATGTCTAACTTTTATTTACCTTTGTCTAAGTTAGCTAGCTGACACAGTTTTATGTTTTGTTGCAGCTTTACACGGAATAGAATTGCTAGAACTGTGTATTATTCTATTCCGGGAGGGGATATCACAATACATTTGTCAGTATAAACTGATATTTTTTCAATGCATGTATAGGTAGTATATCTCTTAACATATCATATATGAACATTGTAAACATCGAGCTCAAAACATACCATCTTTCCTATTCTATCTACAAAACATCATTTTACTTAAAATATAATATAACTTTTAATAGCTATCACTGAGAATAAGAGGACACCAGTCAGTGTGATAAACTGATTACACCAAAACGCAAAGAGTCGCATTTCTTTGCAGCACACCTGTAGTAATTTAGCAGAGATTAAATACCATCAGAAGAGAGTAGGAATATTCAAAGTAATTTGTGGATACGTGGAGCGCCACAATGGAAAAGACTTAATTAGAGGCGAAGCAAGTAATGATCACAAAAGTATAGAAACTATGTTGTACTAACCAAACAGAGTGTCGTAGACATTGGTGTATGATATAGTTCTGATTCAAGTGAGCCAATGATGCTTAGACCACAATACTTTTAAAAATACTCTTATGATTATTTTCACTCTTAGGGATTCTCTTGATTCCAACGAAGAATCTTTCAAAGTCCCCGTCAGGGAGCGCAACAGCGCTGCATTCTCTTATCTTGTGTCTGCACTACTTACCATGGGTTTCACAGGATCTAAAAACCAATCATACTATATATATCTCCCATGTCCTTTGGGGACATTTTCCGACACTTTGGAGATAGGAAGCGGGAATTGCGTAGAGTGCCCTCCTGGTAAGGTTAAGTCTATTGCAATAATCTGACTTGACGTTGTTAACCACGTAATTTAACATTACCTTTTACCAACCAAATGACGGCTTTCCATTTGTAAGACATTTGTCCTGGTGCCAGCTTTTAAAGGTGTCTGAGCATTAGACGAGGGAATGAAAAGTGGGGAATATCACATTGTACTTCATTTGGAACTGAAGCGTGTAGAAAAGGAATAGCCTGCAAATGAAAGTATTTAATCCTTTATAATTAAATTATAGCATCTGCATAGTGCGAAAATTAGCTCGGACCGGATGTCTGCGTATAAACTACTTTGGTGTGATATCCGTGTAATCACATACTTCAGTATGATAACGAAAACAAATTATTAGATATTGTCCTTCAAATGTTTAAAAAAACTCTTTCAGGACACACCTCAATACTATGTCACTGGCCAAGAGAAATGTTTACCTCTATTCTTCATTCAAATGCACAACACTGGTGGAAGCCAGAAACTATTTAATGATATGTGGGATGCAATGAAGAAAAAAAGGAATTGATCTCTTCACAACGCTAACGAACAGGCACCATCTTATTGAATGGTTGAAAGTGAACTTGGGAGAGGAGAAATAAGCTTCTAAATTTAAACAGAATTTACATACGAAAGTTACTTCTCAGTAAAGGCTTTATTGCACTCTTACCCTTCAGGGATAGCAGAAGGCTTTATCTAAGGATTTATCAGTTTCCTGTAATCCAATTTCAAGTCGTAATTGCGCGAGGAAAGCTATCAATATAGGATCTCGGCGAAGAGATTCACATAACTACGAGTCGATCTTTTCAGCAGCAAACCAACGCCTCCACGGAAGAAACAAAATGCAGCAAAACAAGTGCCAGACGTATAAAAAAATTCAAAAGCAGATCGTGACTTGTCGAGAACGCTCTCTAACCTCAAGGAATCCTCATTACCGTTTAAGGAAAGGATGTTTAAATGACATACTCGACCGTCAGTCGTCAGAGCCAAGATTTAACAAACCCTTACAATCAATAATTGAAAAAAGACAATAAAATGAACGAGCGAACAAAAAGAAAAAGAAAAACAAAATGGAAAGGCATCAAAAACACGAAAACATCAGCATCATTTAGCATCATCTAGCCTATCGTTATGAGAAAAGAGCGCGAGCTACACTCAACTTGAGTTTATCAATTTGTCACCGTTAGTTCAATTTTTTATCCTTTTAATCCATCATGCCGGGTTTCCCGGAAAGTTCCTAAAATCCAGAACGTTCCGCTGTTCCGGGACACTCAGGGGCGTAGCCAGGATTTTTCAAAGGGGGGGGGGGGGCACAGAGGGCCCGAGCAGCCTCCCCCTCATTTTGGTAAAAAAAATAAACGCAGAGGGAAGAAAAGCCAGCAGGTGAACCCCCCCTCACCCTCTTAGCTCAAGGACTGCATCCGCCACTGGTTAATTTGGTGGAGGAAAGAATTATTACCATATCTTCAGTTATAGAATGTACAGAACTTCGTTTCCTTGCTGTGGTCATTTCGTCGTCATTTGCTTTTTTCCTACGGGCCAATTCTTGCCAGTGCCGCGCGGAGGCAGCCACAACGGACCAGTGCTCAGAGCTCTTCATCACAATTTCCTCCCAAGAGCGCCTCACGGGACCTTGTCCCATGTCACCTCCGACACCACTGTCTGTGCGCTCCACTTCGGCCTCGCTCTTAGGATGCTCATCTGGAAAGAAAAAAACAGGGTCAAGATTTTAGAAACTGCCCGTTAAAGCACTTCTAGAGTGAGTGTGTCGTAAAACCAACTCCGAAATACTCTCAACAGCNCCAAGGAGGGGGAACGGGCACCCCAGGACCCCCCCTGGCTACGCCCTTGACACTCCGAAGTTCTTCTCTTTCCACAGTGTTCCTGGCGCTGGCATTTTGCCAAATTCTGCAGGGAGTCTTTCTAATTTCCTCAATCGATTGGCGGTGCAAATTGAAAGCTTTCGGAGAAAAATTTAAAAAATACACCAGGCTCCGGTTGTTCAAAGAGCAGATAACGCTATCCAACAGATAAATCGCTATCCAGCGGATAAGTGTTACCAAAACGTACTGCACTATCCACCGGATAGAGATTTATCCAGTGTATAGCGTTATCCATCCTTCGAACAACCGGGGCCAGATCGTTTAGTCATCAGCTTATTCGGATAATTATATAACTACCCTAAGGTTTTTAGGCGAAATTTCAATGTTTCAAAGAATAAATGTATTTAATAAAATTAAAGTCATATAAATAATAAATTATAAGGGAAACCTTTTTCTTTCATCCATCAGGGTGAAATGAACCAAAAACTTAAATTTGACTCAAACCATACGATGATTGTTGGTGTTGAAAAATAGCTCCAAAAACGGGCTGCCTTGTAAGATCTAACATGATAATATTAGCTGGTTTGTAATTGGTTTTCGAAAGCGCAACTTTGTAGCTGATTGAAACATCGTTTATCAGAAAGTTTTAGGTACTAGTGTCGGTTTATATTAGAATCGCATCACTGATTACAATCTCGCATTCTGATTGGTTAAGGAAGCGAGGTATTTAGCGTGGAATTGCGAGTTCAAAACGAGGCTAAGTGATATTGTTTCGCATCTAAGTAAGCATAACAACTAAAACCGATATCGCGATTCGTGCGATATCGGTTTTCGCGTGCAATTTAACGCGGAATTCCCTCGTCAGGTAATGAATTTTCCTGTATTATTAATATATGAAATTTAACGCCATGAATTTTAACGCTATGTAAACCCACCTTATAGCAAGGCTTTGCCATTTGCTCCGTTCTTCTTTCAGGTGGTTATTATTCCGACACTTTTGGTTACGTAGCAGAAAGCTGTAAGAATTGTCCAAATGGTTCTTACGTGGCATATGACAAAAAACCTGGAAAATCCGTTCTAGATTGCAAGACGTGTCCAGATGGTAATGACGTATGAAGTACTTTCAGTTATAACATAAGCCGAGAAATTTCGGAGAATTGATCGGTTGAAATTCAAATATCGCTATTTCGGTGTAATGTTGGCATAACAGGAAAAATGGATGGTATAACAACGTTACCACGACAACACTGAACGCAATTACGTTTTTCTTTTGTTTAAAAAATGGTGGCAAGATTCCTTGAAATTTCCGGTATGGAAAGGAAGGAAAGGTAGTTATGCATGTAAGCGTATGCGTTACCGAACATTTCTCGGCTTTTTCATAGCGACTCCAAAGAAATATGATAAGACTCGTCATATTTGATACAAGGGTTTTTTTGGCTGAAGGTTTAACTCAATGAGGTGGAAGTAAGTGAAATGACTGAATAAAGTACAATATTAAATTCTGATAGGAACGGAAACTGACTTTTTCGCTGGACATCGTGGTTGTGCCTGCTTGGAAGGACACTACAGAACCCATCTGTTTGACAACTGTACAAGATGTGACCGAAGTGGGCTGCTATGCCAAGATGAGTATGCTTCGCTAAAACCTGGCTTCTGGTGGCAATGGCGGAACGAGTCCTATAAACATCGCTATGAACATTTTATTAAAAATCTGGCGGCAAAGTTACCTGCATTGGACGATTTCTCCGTACAATATCCTTACGCAATACCAACACCTTACAGGTGTCAGGTAGAAGAGTCTTGCAAAGGAGGTTTAGATTCACCATGCGGAGAGGGGTATCATGGTCCAATTTGTGCTGTTTGCAGTCCAGGATATCACAAGCGATTTCACTCTTGTAAAAAATGTTCTTCACGAGCCTGGATCGCAGGACAGTTATCTATTATCGCTGCTATTTTAGCAATACTGATGGCCCTTTTGATTTGGAAAAGAAAAACTAATCTTTCACAGGACCGGGGACTCTCTTTTTTGGACAATTTGTTGTCGAAGCTTAAGATCTTGATTGGTTTTTACCAAGTCACTCATGGCTTGCTAGACGTCTTCTCGTTCATTGAATGGCCAGATTCGTTGCAGGTTGTGTCCAAGCTTTCGGGAATTTTACAGATGAATTTGCTTCAGATTGCACCGATTCACTGCCTTAATCACAAATTACACGTGGATGCCTTTGGAGATTTGTTTGTGATCTTGTCAATGAATGTAATGGTCATTGTCGGTTCGTGTTTGATTTACGGTGTTTGGAAAATGATTATCTCACGAAATCAAAACATGGAGAAAGATGCAAAGCTACACAAAATTTCACTGACGAAAGTTCTCATTTACAGAAACGTGTTTTTCTTCCTGTACGTGACCTACCTGAGCACCTGTTCGAAGACGGCCAGTGTTATGCCGTTCGCCTGCCAGAAACTCTGCAAGGATAGGAGAGAAGAGTTCTGTGACGAATATCTTAAAGTAGATTACAGCATAAAATGCCAAGGAGCCAATTACACTCATCTGCTGATTGTCGCTTACATTTCAGCGGCATACGTTATTGCTTTGCCTTCTGTTTCTTTCATCGCCCTTTGGAGGCATCGGCGAACAATCATAACTGAGAAGGACAATGATAATGGCTCTGATCCAGAAGTTGTTGACGGATTGCGATTTCTCTTCGAAAACTACAAACCTGGTTCGTGGTATTGGGAACTGGTTGAAATGTCCCGCAGATTCATTCTTACATGTGGCCTCATTCTCGTGGGTCAAGAAAGCAGATCGTTCATTGGTTTGGCCTGGGTCGTTGCCGGTATGTATGCAGTGCTCTTCTGTTGGATCAAACCCATGCAAGATACTTTTGAGAACAGACTGATGTCCACTTCCCTTGCTGTTACAATTGTAAACCTGGGTGTTGGTGCTGTGAGCAGAATTCCCGCAGAGAACATGTCAAACATGGTGGATCATCACATGGACGCTTTGGCAATGAAGATACTGATTCTTGGAGCCAATACTTTGGTGATTGGTCTTCTTGTTGGTAAGATAAAAGTTAAAAACTCAACTGCAACTTTTACATACCCTTCGTATTAAGGTTAACTTTATCGTATCTTGAGTTTATCTGAGCAGCAACTAATCATTGAAATAAAACGTAGGAGCTCAATTGATTTGGTTAACAATTGAAACCAAGTCAAAGGCTTCTAGGGTTTGTAATTCCACATCTTTTGGAATTTTTACCGTTACTCAGAGAATGTTTAATTCTTCATTTTCTTTTTAGTTCAGTACTTGGCGTTCTTACATCAGTTTTTCAAAGAGTGGCGCAAAAATCCAAAATGGTCTTTTTCTTGCTGCCTGGTATTGCTTCTTCCACTTAATGATCTTCAGGGCGAGATTCGTGGGATGGTAGGTAAGAATATGCTTAAAACTCAGCTTCAGGCAGGGATCATTGAGAAGCCCTCCATTGCGGCCAGTGCAAAAGATACTGGAGCATTGAGTTTTTCTCTAACTCATGAAGACAGTGAAAGACAAGAAAGAAGTTCAGTAAAATCCAAAGTTACCAGAAACGGCAACAGCGACACTAAATGTGACCGTGGGACACAAACAGAAATATTCACACCTGCATCTGCCGCTATCGCTGTTCATGGGAAGCGCGCCTGTGGATATCCATGTGACTACATGGTTAGTAAGATCCCGTTTTCGTTTAATTGTTTGTTTGTTTTTGTTTTAAGGGGATGGCATAGTTGTTACGGAGACGGCGTCCATTATGTCTGGTAAATCCCGAAGAAGCGTCCCTGCTAAAATTAGACAGTTCCATACACCGAATGCAAATATGGCGTCCAATTTGAGTTGCCATTGTTCTGGACTGACTAGCCTCTCACACATGTAATAATGCTTTTGTATTTCCACGTGAAGACGAGGCTAGTCAGTCTAGAACAATGGCAATTCAAATTCGACGCCATATTTGCATTCGGTGTATAAGATTTCCAAACGACATACAAAAAAGGTTACCATTCCACAAAATAATGGTTTTTCCCTTAGATGTGGATTATATAGAACTGATATGGGCAGTGCAACATCATCTCGTCTACTCTTAGCATTGACCTACACCTAAGACTGATGGGTTAAAGAAAATATGTAACATATACAGCTTTGTCCAAGGCCGGGGGCCAACTGAACTCTTCATTTCGTTTGGATAATGAGAATTTTTTTTAAATCTGTACATTTCTAGGGTCTGCCAGCCTGCATTTCGTGGCTAGTCGTTGACGTATTATATGTTGATACTTCTCTATTCGATATAGAAGAGAAAATGTAATGGTCTTTCTAATTTGTGATATGTATTCTATTGTCAAACCTTTTCGAGGATTTTCTTTCTTTTGGGAGAATTTGCCCCAACGCTGGCCAGCTACTGGGCATTTTTCTTAGTTATTTACGTCCCATATTCTTCGACCTATATGCAATATCATTTCTTGTTATGTTTATCTAATATATTGAAACTTAAGAATTGTTCTTAATTTCAGGAGTCGGCCGCGTCGCACCACTGCATACTATTTCCTGAAGCAGATGAAGCCACCTCAGAGGAAGAAACGACAGACACGAATAATGAGGAATGAAGAAGACGGCCAGAAATGTTTTAACATTTAGCATACAAGGCAACGCATCCTTTTTAATTTAACATATTTACTACAATAGCAAGAGCAAACATGTTTAGACGAAACATGATTGTTTATCATACACTCTAATAACGTTTTTTGAGGTATTATTTACACCTATTGACATACAATACTTGCATTGATTATTGCTTTAGAAGTTTCCCAGATGAATTCGAAGGCACCGTTCGGATTTACCCAAACCTATATACTACGGTAGTATAATCAGATATGCACGGGCTACACTGTTTTCCAAGTAAATGTACGCGTTGCCATTACTATTATCATCATATTAGTACATGTATTGGCAATATTCATAAATATTATTACTAGCTAATAATAATTATACTGATACAGTTTCAGCTGAGTTTATGCAAGTCCTATTCGGATTGTAGACATGCTTGTCCAAGATGGAACACTTAAAATAAAGTTAAATAAAGTCAGCACAAATATTGTGTCATTTTCTTTGATGCGACGTATACCTACCCCTAGCCCCTTTCGAAAAGAAAAATGAAATTCCAGTCAACTATGTCAAGTATTTTGTGAAACAACGGTACTTTAGGATGGAAGGACACCAAAGGGACCAGTCATTATCTACCAC